GACTTGATGCACTAGAACTGCACTTCAAAGTACTTCAAATAGTCACAAATATTTAGCAAGCACTTCTTAAACAAGTACTTTGGTGCTAAAAACACTGAGATAAAATTCCTGCTTAAAAATAATGCAATCTTGGATAAAGAAAAAATCCTGGAATTGTATTACAAGACAAACAGTTGTAAAACAATGATGTAAGTACCACAGTGGGTGGGGTATACAGAATCTACAGAAAGAATGTGGGAGTGGGCATGTTCTCCCTCATATGAGGAACTAAATACTAAAATAATCGCTCTCAGATAGACAGAGAGTAGAATGATGGTTACCAGAGGCCGGGAAGGGTACCAGAGAGGGAGGGATGAAGTTGGGTGGTTAATGAGTGAAGAACTACAGCTAAATACTTAGAACTGTGTGTGACAGCTCAATACAGTGACAATAATCAATAATAAGTTAGGATACACTTTAAAATAGCTGCAAGAGTAGAGCTGGAATGTTCCTAACACAAAGAAAGGATAAATGTCCGAGGCGATGGCGCCCCAATTACTCTGCTTTGAGTAATACACATTGGACACCTGCACCAGAGCATCACACGTACCGTGAAAATATATACAACCACGTGTATTATGTACCATACTAATTAAAAATAAAATTTCTTTGTTTAAAAAGAAAGAGAGTGAGAGTGAACGTCCACTGCTGTGTGGGCAGGATGCCTCTCCTCTCCTGCCGTGTTCCACGGGGTGACCCTTCCTTTATAAGAGCAGGCATGCTGAGATAAGAGCAAGGCGGGCATGTGCCAGTCCACCCCAGACAAGGAAAACAGTGCGTTACACTGGGTCGCTGCAAAACTCCTGGCTTGCAGTGATCGGGGAGATAAGAAGGTTCTACCAAAAATGTCCTACTTGAATTTAGTGTGAAGGGCAAGTAAGAGTTTGTAACCAGAAAAGGGAGAGTGTTTCAGGCAAAGGAGAAACGTACAAAAGCAGGTGAGAGTAGGTGGCCTGGGATGTAGGATGTGCAAAGGACGGGAGGGAGAGGGGTTCAGAAAAGGGAGAGCAGCTGGGAGGTGTGGAAAAGCCCGTGGCTGCATTTAGAAACTGGGCTTTCTCCCACGGATGGTCCGCAGGAAGATCACTGGTTCCACAGCCTACTCCAGATCCCAGCTGGCCCAACCTAACTTTCAAGCTTCATTTTCTCCTCTTTCCACTAACTTGCTTTCCAGAAAAATCATCACTGGATGCCTCATGTTTTCTCCAGACACACGCTATTTTCACGTAAACGCCTTTCTCTTTTTCTAGGTACAAAGTTCCTATTCACGGTTAGAAAGCTTCCTCTCTCAAGCATTTGTCAACTCTCTCACACAGAAATAATCCTCCCTTTTCTCTATGTGCATCACAGGGTCAGGGACCTCGCTCACGTCACTTACTCTTCTGTTTTGTAATTACAGGCAGTCCCCAATTACAGTGTCCACGTTTACAAACAGACTCCCAAGATTCCCCATAAGGCTGCTTTATATTAAACAGCAAAGTCAATGATTCAGGAACTAGTTTCTTCCATGAAGATAAATCATTCCACCTGGCACCCAGAGGTATCTCTCTTCTTCTCCGCCACAGTTGGAAGAAGAAGAGTTATCTGAGGCCACACGTGAAATACACAAACACTAACAAAAGCTGATGAGCAAAAAAAAAAGGCCTAATTGTCATGATATGTGACAGCAGCACAGATAAGCTACGCAGTCCTCACGCGATCCATAACCACCCATGGGCCAGAGGATGGACCCCCTGGAAGCAGTTCCCTGGGCAGCATCTTTACAGCTAGAGGCTATTTTCATTTGTACCGTCCCTTGTACACATTGTCACTTCTGTCTTAACATTTTTATTCATGACCATCCTTCAAAGCAAAAGTCCCCCATAAGTCAGGGTGAGCCTGCAGCAAAAACTGATGTGATTGAAATGGAAGCAGAAATATGCATTCGGAGAAAGGCCGGTGCCACCGCTCCTGGGAAAGCATCGGCTCCAGGGGCTCCTCTGTGGGAACAGCTGTGAAGGGTGAAGTGGGAGTAACGGAGGCTGCAAGAGGCAGTGTTTCAATGAAGTATCAATTATTAGTAAGCAGCACAGTGGATTAATCACTGAAATGAAAGGTTATTATTGGTTGGTTAGAAGATCAATACAAGTGCAACATTAGCCTAGCGCTGATGCACCGTTAGATGAGTATTATGTTAACCTTCACTATTCCTTTTTAAAATTTCTCCTATCTCCAACCTCAAGTTTTTATGTCAGTTTGTTTTTATGTTCTGTTTGAAGTAAAAGAAAGAGCACAATAGTTTCTAGAACTTATTATTATAGGAAGGGATATTATTATTACTACAGTAATGAACAGTATTATTGTTACCACAGATGAGCCATTATAGTATTATTAACATTATCATATATGTACTGTTCATAAAGGATCTGAGTTACATACAAATCTGACCCAAAGACATTGTCAGGAATGTATCATCTGCAATCCAGGGACATCTGTATTTCACCAGGGATTATACTTTTCTGTGTTCAAAGGCAGCTGTGATAGCTCTGAATAGGTGCAGTCTTAAAAATTGGTCTAATATACTCTCTTCCAGAATACAACACACACTATTTATAGATACACGAGCTATTTTAAAATGGCACATTGACTATATATTTAAATACTTAAGAATTTATTTTGGGATCTTTTAGAATAACTGTAAGTCACATATCAAGCTCATGATTTCAGAGAGATTTTTTTTTTTTTAGGAAATGGCTAAGTGAGGTAAAAACATTAATCAGATTAAAGGTTAAGAGTGACCCCAGATGCTCCCTATTAGTATTTTTCTGTGGCATGTACCATCATTTGACATTTATATTTGTTTCTCAGCCTCCCAGAGTGTAAACTCTACAAGGGCAGGAATTTGGTCTACTTTTCTGCTATACTCCCAGAATTTGTGATACCACTTGGTACAGATGTCCTCAAACTATGGCCCGTAGGCCACATGCAGCCTGCCCAGGACATTTATCTGGCCCGCTGGGTGTTTTTGCCGACACTGCCTGTCCTGCTTAGCAGCCGACTCGTCTCAGGGCCCACAGGCTGGCCCTCCAACGGTCTGAGGGACAGTGAACTGGCCCCCTGTTTAAGAAGTTTGGGGACCCCTGTTAAGAATTCAATCTATAGTTATTGAAGAAGGGAAAGGGAGGGAAGTCAGAAGTAAGAGAGGGAGAGAGGAAGGAGCAGAGAAGAAAAGAAGGTCAGAATTAGGGTAAATGCCAGTAAGAACAGAGAAGGTCTGAAATACAGCAATACCTGGGAAAGGTGGAACGTGGTTGTGGAGGTGCTGGAACAGCAGACGGAACGAACAGGAGTTTGAGTTTGGATGGAGAAGATAACAAAAGGTTATAGATACTTGAGCAACAGGCTAATGCTTCAGAATATTACAAGATAACATAAAATTTTCTAGGTCTGTATCCCCAGAGTATTCTGACAGTGCTATACAGAATTCTGCCATTTCTAATCTGTGATAAAATTGAAGGTTCTTTTAAAGTCATTTGGGAGAACTCTCAAGATTAAAGGTCTTGGTGAAACCTAAGTTTCAGTGGTAGAGGCTTCGCTGTTTCCAAAGGCAAGCACGTTATGGAGAAAACAATGACAGTGCCAGGAGCCAAAGCATCTGTGGGCCTTTCTTCCATCCCCGACGTCAATCAGATGTGTGATTTTGTGAGAAAGTGCTAACTTCTAAAATTTAGAAGGTTCCTGAAGACTTCTGAGGGTAAAGCTGAAATATAAAGAGGGGGTAACTGAGATTTGGGTCTCAGAAACAATTCTGAACCTGAGAACATGGGTTTGTTCAATGACTAGTATTTAGTGGGCATGTCTCTGAGCCAAGCACTGTCGGCTGTACAAGAGAGAAGATGGAGACCTGGCCACGGGCCTTCACTTAGAGGAAACAAATCTCTACCAGCAAATTACAAAATACTATGAGTAATCTCATTAAATGAATTACAAAAAAGTGCACAGGGTGTTGCCTGGGTGAATAATTTAGTCCCAGATTTAGCAAAAGCTTTAGAAATGAGGCAATGTTTGGGGACTTACACTTGACAAGTATTATTCTAAATACATTTCCCAAAGAAAGGTACACATACATTGATGGAACAAAAGCTGTTTATAAATGGTACACTAAAGAAACATCTTAGTTCCAACAATTATATACATATTTTATTATGTTTTTTAAAAGTTATATCTAGACACAAAAGCCACAGTTCTCAGACAGTGCTGCGTAGGATGTGGCTAAGTTAAAACAAAAAAGAAAAAACCACACAAAGGTAAAGGCACCGAGGATTGTCTTCCATAACCCTAGCTCTCTTACTCTCTCTCACTGTTTTATTTTCATTCAAATCATGTGTCACCATATGATATTAATTTTTTGAATGTCTGCTATATTATTAAAAGTTTTACATGGAGACTCTAATATTCACAAAACCATGGGAAAAGAAACCCCCTGATGTACCAAATGGATTCCTACCCCTGGTCCAGTGATTGTGCTTTAATCAGTCACTTAAAGAGCTGGAAAACAGAGTACCCGACCAAACCCGACAGTTTTTGAACCAGAAGGGACTTCAATGTTATCATTTTACAGATGAGGAGACTGGCGCCCAGGAAAGGGCTGGTGATCTACTCAAGGCACAGGAGGTAAGCCACAGAGCCTAGACTCCAACCCACATTATTTAATGACAAGTCAGTACACAGATGATAACATCTGCTTATAGGCAATGTGTATGGAGAGAGTCTTCTTACTCCACATAACAGAACATGACATACCAGAAATCAGTAAAGTTCATGGATGGTATTGACACTCAAGAGTGAAGAGTCCCCACCAGTAACCAAAACAGAAAAAACAAAGCTTTAACAAAGATGAATAAGAAAGTTATAATCTTCTGACCCACAGTTTCATAGTATACATATCAGATAGTACATCATTATGAAAACCTCAGCGTTACCTCCGAGAACCATGCCAGCCTGGCAGCACTTCCTAAGGCGACATGCTGGGCAGTTTTTTCTGCGGATTTTGTCGACAATGCAGTCATTTCTTCCGGCACATAAGTAGTTATGCTGTCCTAAAACAAACAAACAAACAAAAATTTAAAGTTAATTGCAATATCTAAGGACCATAGGGAATTGTACACAGTGGCAAGTGAAATAGCAGATAGGGCCACGTCAGCAAGCACACTACTCTCTCAGCCAGACTCCTGCTCCGCGTGACGGACGCCGGTGATGAGACGAACCTGTTCAGTACGTCACCTGCACCTGCAGGACCCGAAGTAAGGCAACCACGGCTTAAAATCAAATCCCAGAGCTCCTCCGAAAGTCTTCGGTCCAGTATTTCTGTGCATCTTCTTAATGGTATCAGATCAGCTTGCCTTAGACCTTTCTGCCATTTCAAGATTAGCTAGTTATGGTTGCCGATAAGCATTCATTAAGCTCTAGTCAAGCTCTAGTTAAATCTTTTATTTCTAACATCTAAGCCTTAAAAAAAAAAGATACAAACTAAATAAATTAAAGAGGTCTTTGGAACAGACTTTTAAAAAATAATCTACATGCTTAATTCTGTTGGAAAATGCTAGAGCTAATCATCTCTTGAAGGAGCTAATGCTTGTGAATAAATAGCATGTCATTTATTCTCCAAAATATTGAAAAGGAAAGAATTCTCCCTAACTAATTCTATAAGGCCAGTATTGTCTACTACCAAAACCAGGCAGACATAATACAAAAAGAAAAATTCATGCCAATATCTTGATGGATACAGAAGTAAAAATCCTCAATAAAATACTAGCAAACCAAACTCAACTATACATCCAAAAGATATGATACCATGATCAAGTGGGATTTATACAAGGATGCAAGGATATTTCAATATATGTAAATCAATAAAAGTGATACATCATATCAACAAAATGAAGTACAAAACTCAAATCCTAACTTAATAGATGCAGAAAATGCATTTGATAAATTCAATATTCCCTACGTGAGGAAATTCTTGATAAACCAGGCATAGAGAGAACATACTTTAAAATAATAAAGGCCATAAATGACAAATCCACAGCTGGCATCATAATGAATGGGGAAAAATTTAAAGCCTTTCCTCCAAAAACTGAAATAAGACAAGGGTGTCCACTTTCCCCAGTCCTATTCCACATAGTCCTGGGAAATCTCAGCCAGAGCAATCAGGCAGAGAAAGAGACAAATCGGAAGGAAGAAGTCAAATTTTACCTTGTTAGTAGATGATATTATCTTATATTTATAAAACCAAGATGACTCCACCAAAAACCTCTTAAAACTGATAAATTCAGTTAAGTTGAAGGATACAAAATCAACAGATAAAAATCACTGTACACTGATATTACAATAGCTGAAAAATAAATCAAGAAGTCAATCCCATTTACTCTAGCCATTAAAAAATACCTAGGAATAAATTTCATCAAGAAGGTGAACCATCTCTCTAAGGAAAACTAACAAACACTAACAAAAGGAAATAAATGGACAGGACATAAAACTATGGAAAAACATCCCACGCTTACAGATAAGAGCAATAAATACAGTTAAAATGACTAATACCCAAAGCAATCTACAGATTCAGTACAATCCCTATCAAAATACTAATGTTATTTTTCACTGAAAAAGAAAAAAAATCCTAAAATGTGTATGGAACCAGAATAGCCTAAGCAATCCTGAGCAAAATGAACAAATCTGGAGGCCTCATATTACCTGACTTCACATTCTACTACAAGCCTACAGTAAACAAAATAGCATAATGTTGGTGTAAAAACAGCAGCACAGACGAACACAGCAGAGAACCCAGAAATAAATCCACATTTTTATAGCCAATGGACCTTTGATGAAAGTGTCATGAACACACATTGGGTAAAGGACAGACATACTCTTTCCAATAAATGGTGCTGGGAAAACTGGATAACTATATACACAAGAATGCAACTGGAGACCTATCTCTTATTATGTACAAAAATCAACTCAAGATGGATTAAAGACTTAAACATAAGACCCAAAACGATGAAACTACAAGAAATTATTAAATAACATAGGAAAAACTGTTCAGGCATTGGTCTAGGCAAAGATTTTGTACATAGGACCTCAAAAGCTTAGGCATTAAAACAAAAATGAACAAATGAGATTGTAACAGACACAGCAAAGAAACCATCATCTGAATAAGTACATAAGCTCTTGAATGGGAGAATGTATTTCCAAAGTACTCATCTGAGAGGGCACTAACACCCAGACTACCAAGGAACTCAGTAACTCAACAGTAAAAACCAAATAACCCCATTAAAAATGGGCAAAGACATGAACAGACATTTCTTTAAAGACAACAGACAGATGGCCAACAAGTATGTGAAAAAAATACTCAACATCCCTAATCATCAGGGAAAGGCAATTCAAACTACAAAGAGATCATCTTACTCATTCTAAGAAGACCAAAAAACAAACAAACAAACAACCTCCCCCCACCCCCCAAAAGGATTGGTAAGGATTTGGAGAAAAGGGAATTCTCATATACTGTTTTTGGGAACATAAACTAGTAGAGCCACTATAAAAAACAGTATGGAGTTTTCTTAAAAAATTGACACTAGAACTACCATGTGATCCAGCAATCCTATTATTGGGTATTTATCCAAAGGATTCTTCCTTGAACTTCCTAATCATTTGCCACAGGTAACTTTTCTCCCCACCCGCCCTGCCCCAGGGTCAAAGGGGATCCATACAATCCCATGTTTATTGCAGCACTATTCATAATAGCAAAGGTGAGGAATTTATCTAACTGTCCATCAACCAAAGAGCGGATTAAAAAAATGTACACACGTACTATAGAGTACTATTCTGCCATAAAAAAGATGAAATCATGTCATTGACAGAACATGGATGAAACTTTCATTCATTCCTTATTATAAGTGAAATAAACCAGAAAGACAAATGGTGCATGTTCTCACACCTCTGTGGGACCTAAAAGAGCTGGTCACATAATGCTGACCAGAACAGAGAGCAGAATGTTCAGATACCAGAGCTGAGGAAGAGTGCATGTGGGGAAGAATGAAGAGAAGCTGGTTAATGGGTATAAACACAGATAAAGGAAATAAGTTTTAACATGTGATAACAAGTTAAGGTGGTTGAGTTAACAATAATGTATATATATTTTTTGTTGCAGTTTGGCTGCAGCCCAGTTTGAACCTGCCACCCTCGGTGTATATATGGAGCTGGTGCCCTAGTCATTGAGCCACAGGCACTGCCCCAACAATGTATATATATTTTTCAAAATAGCTAGAAGAGGGGATCTGAAATATATCCAACACACAGAAATGGTAAATACTAGGTGATGGATACACCAAGAATGCTGACTTGGTCATCACACATTCTATATCTGTAACAAAATTTTACATGTATACTGCATATTAATAATACAAACATATCAAAAATATCACTTACTGTACTGACTTTAATGCCTGATTTGCTTTGATCACAAATTCGGAAACAGAAGATCAGAACTAATGATAATGAAACAGAAAAAAGTACTCAAGGAAGAAAAGGGGAGAAGAATCATAGAAGAAATAAAGTTAAAATATATCACTATGGGGTCTTTCTTTGTAGGGAAAACTACTTATACCTTTAAAAAGTTCTGGCAAATGGATTTAATATACAACGATGATGAGTATTTAAACCACAAACATGTTCCGTTTAATAAGGTATGGAACAATATTGTTTATTTACATTAAAAAATGATTTATACATCTTAAATGTATAAGTATTAATCAACTAGAAAATTTACTTTTTGGATACTCTTTATTTTCCAATAAATTCCTTTAAGTCCTTTAATAATCATCAGCCATGAACTTTCGCTTTTTACACATGAAAAATAATTTTAAAAGCTTTTGGAATTTCCCTATAGTATTTTACATTAGTCCACGTTACAATCAGAGTCACTCTGCACAAAATTTGTAGTAAAGAAACACAGGAGCATCTTATAAAGTGTTTAGTCAGGAGGGGACAGGAGATGCTCAAACAGCAAAGGTCAAAACAGCCAAAAAACCCCTATCTATGTGACAGCTAATGGTTCTGACCTGGGGCATTTTCAGAAAAGCACAAATATTCTTTTCTTAAAAGAATGTATTCTTCCCTAACCTCATGTTCATGTATACTCACATGCTAATGTTCATTCACTGTTTAAGAAGCCCTTGGATTAGGGCTTTCCTCCTAATAACAAGTCGTTACAAAATCTCATACCTATGCTCAATTTTCTGCACACAGTGTAATCCCACGAGAGGTTAGTGGAGTGTCCCGCATGCTACTTTCTGATTTGACACGGTTTATATCTCCGCACTACTTATATATTCAGATGACAGGAGTCACTGTGGGAGCAGAGGATGTGTAAGTTGGTCTATTTGCTGTCCCCCTGCCCCCATATCTACTTAGAACCTACACTGATTTCTGACAAGAGAGAATGGAAAATAGAAAGATTTTTCATCCTATACAAAAATAGTGCACATAGATATAATCGTCAAAGGAAGGCTATTTTATTCTCTGCTCCTAGGTCTTAAATGTCCAGAAAAAAAATGTCTGGGGTGACCCCAGAAGCTGGACTGCTGCGGACTTGTCCCATTCGTAGTCCTTAAGTGACCTACAACATAACCCTGTCTTCATGGTCTCAGAGACCGAGCCCTCCTCACCATCCCTGTCAGAATCCTGTCTTCATGGTCTTGGAGACTGAGCCCTCCTCACCATTCCTGTCAGAACCCTGTCTTCATCCTCTCAGAGACGGAGCCCTCCTCACCATACCTGCCAGAACCCTGTCTTCATATTCTCAGAGATGGAGCCCTCCTCACCATCCCTGTCAGAACCCTGTCTTCATACTCTCAGAGATGGAGCCCTCCTCATCATCCCTGTCAGAATCCTGTCTTCATGGTCTCAGAGATGGAGCTCTCCTCACCATCCCTGTCAGAATCCTGTCTTCATGGTCTTGGAGACTGAGCCCTCCTCACCATCCCTGT